CATCCAGGAGCAGCCAGTCTATTCCGGACATATTACTGGTATGTCGGTATAGATTCCACATACAAAACCAACAGGTATGTTACATTACGTTATAAATAGTAATATAATGTGAATCTTAAAATAGTATGTTTGAGTAAGTTTTTTGATTCTATGTTTTTTCTTCTTGTTGCTTTCATTTGCACAGGTACCACATGCCGTTGGTTGAGATGGTTGGAATGACGCCGTGCAACAAGAATTTCTTAATTGCTTATGCAATTATCAAGGACGAGACCGAGTACAGCTATGACTGGGTCCTACAGCAGTTGAGACTTCTGATAGGGCCTGATGTAGATCCTACAGTCATTGTCAGTGACAGGGAATTGGGGTTGATCACTCCTATTCAGAGGAATTTTCCGACGACGCCCCACTTACTCTGCACGTGGCACATCAACAAGGATGTGGAAGACAAGGTCTATCGATTAACGTCGACAACCACAACTAAAAATAAGATCTTCGCGCAGAAGTTCACGCACGGCAAGTGGAAGAAGGTTGTCGAGGCGAGCACGTGGGACAAATACAAAACTGCCGTAACTGATTTGGCTGTTACATACGCGGCGTTTCCTCGTGTGCTGGAATATGTGGATCAGACATGGCTAGTGCACAAGGAGAAGTTTGTCAAAGTGTGGACGGACACTGTCTTACATTTTGGCAACACAACGTCGTGTAGGGTGGAGAGTTCCCACGCTACGTTGAAGCAGTGGCTTAACACGTCGACTGGTTCGCTCGACACGGTTTGGGAGAAAATTGACAAAGAGATTGATTCTCAACTGACTAAAGTCAGGTATATTTTTTAATTTATACTGTAAGACTGTGTTATTAATGCATTGATTATAAATTTTAATTCGGTCGAATGTTATGTTATGTAATGTATTACCAGGGAGACGCTGGAGTCTTCGAAACTTAGGATGAGTACGGGCTGCAGGGAATTCCCTTTCGAGCAGTTGACACTGCGCGTCTCGCATTACTGTATTGATATATTGAATGATGAGCTTCAGAAGATGCGAGACTTCGGCAAAGATGTTTCGGAGCGCTGCGATTGTGCACTAAAATACACTCATGGACTTCCTTGTGCCTGTGAGCTAAGGGAGGCACACACTGTACGTAGAAATATTACGACCGACGACATCCACATCTTCTGTAGCACACTAGAGGTGACGCAGCCAGGTATAATTGCGAGATTAATAAATCTATAGAACATCATGCTCAACATTTTTTTTTTCCTAAATTTTATTTAATTTATACAAATTTTGATAGAGCATATTGTATAATTCTCTAAATTTTCGGTACGGACAGGTCAGCAGAGTGCATCGGCGAGTGGATGGACTGATCATGATTATTTTCGGAGGCTTGCCGAGGAGGTTGAAGCGGCCGATCCTGCGACTGTACGGTACCTGAACCATCTCATCGACTCTCAGCTTCACCCTGATCAACAGGGATACACAGAACCTGCAGTGAAGGAAAATCCGAGAGGTCGGCCCAAGAAGAAAAATTCAACAAAACGCGATCTATCGAGATGGGAGTACAGTGAAAGAGGCCGTACGGCGGGGCGTAAAAGCACTTCTTCGTGTGCTCCATCGCAATCGGGGTACACGGAAACAGGTCGTCGGCCGGGGCGTAAGAGCACTTCTTCTTGTGCTCCGTCGATGTGGGACTACAGGGAAAGAGGTCGTCCGGTGGGTCGTACAAGCATTTCTTCGTGTGCCCCGACAAGCTCATCGTCTCAAGATCCGACAGGTAATTTAATTTTACTTTTTATCTGAACGATGACTAATTATGTTTGTAAATTCAATTACATAAATTATGACGTGAAATTATTCTGATATTACAGATACATTCGAGACGGATTTTTTTCAGTACCGACATTGTGGTAGGATTCCCTACGTAGTTCACAGCTACGTACAGAGTTATCTGGATGTGACGCCGGACGGGAACTGCGGATTTCGGGTGGTTGCGAGTTACATTTATAGGGATCAGCAGAAGTGGGATGTGGCAAGAAGAAATATTGCAAATGAGGTTGCAGCCAACATTCATTTGTACGCTCCATTTTATTGGGATGGGGTCGACGTCGCAATCGATCGTATAAGATGAGACGGGGGTCCTTGTGGCGAGGAGCATTGGATGAGTGCTACGGGCGACCTCTTTGCTATTGCTACACTGTTCAATGCAGTTGTCGTGTTGTTAAGCTATGGTCCCAACGATAACAATATGGACATGGCTAGTATGACGGTATTCCCGATCCGCACACCATCCACGGCTACACGACCTGACTGTGAGATCGTCATAGGTCATCTTGGTTCCTACTCGCACTTCATTCGTATCAATCTGTGTTCTGATTCTCCATTACCGCCTTTGTGTTTTTTTTGGGAGAAATACCGAGATGTTTCGGTTCGAGATTGGCCGTATCAGTACCAGAGCAGGTTCCAGTTGTGGAATGATATTCATACTGCAGCTGAAATTTGATATATTGTGATATTCGACTTATGTCTGCGGTTTTTTATTTTAAATTTTATTTTCATGCGTTACGAGTGATAGATTGTGATATCTCGCCGTGTCTACCGTTTCACGTGATATAATGAGAGAATTTTTTGTTTAGATGAAAATAAAATTAACTAACCACAAATAAAAAAAAAACAATTCGGGTGGTTTCTGACAACATCCAAAACAAAATATATATAAAAAAAAGTAATTATTACATCACTACTGCGCTCTGTCGAAATCGAACCTCAACTGAGCCAGTTTTTCTGCATAAATTGCCGCCCTATCAGGAGCAAGTTTCGCGATCTCTTGATGCATATCTGATGAAAGGGACATGGACCGTCCGACCCACTACACAAAGCACAAGGAAAATATATACACATAATTAAAATATAAAAAATAATTGTAATGAACGAAACTAAATTTAGTAAACGACTTACGTAATCTGTGTTGGCGTGCGCAGGGACAGCCTCGTTGTCCGCCTGACTGTCGGGCAAGAGTCTAGGATGAGAATATCGCTCATACCATCGCTGGTAGTCCTCATGGGCCGCCCCTAGATCATCTGCGGTGGTGGGAGTACAATCAGACAAGCGTACAGAATGCAATACCGAGAACTGATCCCAGTGATCTACTGCAGCGTCCGATGCATGCTCAACCCTGTACATCCTAGCATTCCAACCACGAAATACCGTGATCGGACGATCCATGCGGGGAGGGATCGTCTGGACGTAGCCCAACTGACGCAAGAAACGCATAGGCATGTACGGCTCCACAATATCCCGGTACCTAAGGCATCCGTAATAAAGGGTCCTGGGCTCCTGCAAATGTGGGTTGGGGCCCTATGGCAGCCAGTTTACCTGTTCACAATTGCATAAAACATTTATTCAAACAATTCGAGTATTCTAAATAACTTTCAAGTGAATGTAATAAAATAACTTAACGTACCTCGGCGGCTGTGAGTCTGTCAAGCTGCCTACGGAAATGCTTGAGGCGCTTATCTGAGTTATCTGGGACGGGAGTCCTCCACAAGGCTGATCGGGCCAAGCTGTCAGGCTCGGAGGCCATACGCGAACCGGCGGGTCGGAAGGTGGGGAAGTACTCGTATATCCAGGACTGCATGAGAGTCAAGCAGCCTGCCACTCCCCCCGACTCCCCCCTGCTGGCCATACCTAAATGTCTGAATAGGTATGCCAATGCGGCCGAGCCCCACGAGTAAGTCCCAACACTCTGCAGGTCCTCCATCATCTCGTGCAGGATCTTGGGACTGACCCTATTACCACTCTTGTCTGTAAACAAGGTGGTAGCGAACAGCACCCACAGCCAGCCAATCGCCACATGCTCAGCCGACCGACCTGCACCATTCTTCTCCAACGCAGTAAAAACGGTTTCATTCGTCACCGAGCCGTGACCCCAAAACTTCGCTGTCAGCGTTGCCTGGTCCACCCCCAGGAGCTCCATGCAGTGCGCTTGCTGTGTCAAGGTGTCGGGGTCCCCTGTGACTACCACACCCTCGACAGAAACCCCCAATATCGCCCTCACGTCGTGCAACATGATACTCATTTCACCAAAAGGCAGGTGAAACGAGTTGGTATCCGGCTGCCAGCGCTCCACAAATGCTGAAATAAGAGGAGTGTCGATGTGGTCATGCATGCTGGACGCCAAATGTGACAGCCCGGTCGGACGGATCAGATCTAGCGGAGCCTCAGCCATCTGTCCGAGCCACTCCCTCAAAACACCGTTCGCTGACATCCTGTTTTGGCACTTCAACGTGCCTCTAAGACGTCCTGTCCAAATCCGGGAGGC